GGTACTTTGTGAAAGTGTCTTTTGTTAAGCTTCCTACGGTTCTGTGCCTGGTTGAATCACAACCAATAATCCCCCCTTTCATAAATCAGCAGGGTACCAGGAAAGTGAATGCCTCCCTACTTGTTTCTTCGCACGTTATCTATGGGAAGAATGTATATAGAATGTATTGAGCATTAACACAGTATTTTTCATCATTGCACCTATTAGTATCTACATTGCTACAAAATAATCTCTGGGAACAATGCTCAATTATTCCCTGGCTTGGTAAATTCTTTCAGTATTCTATGAATATCAGTATTTTTCATGCAACCGCATAAGCCCATTTCCTCTTGTATTTCCCCGAGTGAAGTCAGAAAATATCATTCATTCCTGCTTTCACTCAACAAAGCACTAAGCCTGGCACTGCTATATCAAGGATACTGTTATCTTTGATCTATGAGGCTTACAGTTCACTGAGGAATAAGTTATTATTTATGTGCTTACAGCTATGATAAGTACACCAGAAGAGAATACACACCAGTTGCCTAGAGTGAATTACAAAACTTGGATCCAGATTGTGTTACAAAGGCTAACAAAGAGTTCCCAAACAAAACACCATTCAAGCTGAAATCTGAAGGATGAGAAAGAAAGGGAGACAGAAGGACAGAGTGCATAGCAGAGGTCAAAGGACCTATTGGGGAGGCTGAGGCTGGAGGGGTCAGGTGTGTAAAATAGCACAAAGGTGTACTGAGTCAGAAGACAGGAACAAGGAATGGGAAGAGATCTCCAGATAAAGATCCGACAGGGCCTCACAGGTGATGTGACATATCATGGATTTGATCCCAAGGAAATGCAAAGCCCCTACAGGATATTAAACATGTGTTTGAGTACTGTGTATTACAAAGATGTGAACTAAAGGGAGCAGAATCAGGAAATGCCATCTGGTGGACCAGGCAAGAAATGAGAGCAGCTTGGATTAGTGCGAGAAAGGTTGTAGAGACAACAGTGCTGCCTCAGCACAGCATCACAGGAGGAGGAGAGTGGTGAACCAGGAGCTTGACTACAGAGACCATGGTGGAAATCTAACATAAGAACCCAACCTGGAACTTGCTGGAAGAAGTGGCACAACTGACTGCAAACAAAGAGCCATGTACCAACTGCAATAAGTAAAACTGAACTATAGACCTGTGGGTGACACAGCTTAGAAACCTGCCCCAAGAAGAAGATTCTCCTAACCAGAAGTACAATGACCAAGAGCAAAAGAAGAGACAGAGACACAATGAATATTACTGAAGACTCCCCTGCAAAGGCATAAAACCCTTTGCCAACCTCAGAGTTCACTGAGGAAGATATCGAGAAAATGGGGGATACAGAATTCAAAACACTTGTTATAAAACTTCTGATCAACAATGAGAAGCACAAAAAGCAGACATTCAAGGAATTCAAGGAACATGTCACACTGGAAATGAATCAAATGAAAACTGACACATCAGAAATGAAGAATACAGTGGAGCAAACTAAAAGTACAATGGAGAGTCTCCAAAATACAATGAAACAAGCAGAAGAATGAATCTCAGAATTGGAAGATATTTCCTGTCACCAGGGGGAAACAAACAAAAAGCTGGAAGCATAGCTGGATCAGGCCAAAAAAAGTATTCAAGAATTGAAAGACACTAAGAAAAGGCCAAACATAAGAGTTATGGGAGTCGCAAAAGATGCAGAAAGAGAAACTGGGATTAAAGGTGTATTCAATGAAATAATAAAAAAGTTTTAATAAAAAAATAATAAAAAATAAAAAAATTTTCCCTAATCTAATCTAGAGAAATTGGGAAACAACAACCAGAGGGCACAGAACTCCCAACAGGCTTGACCAAAAGTAATATTCACCAAGACACATGATCATTAAGCTCTCTTCAACCAAACATAAGGAAAAGATCCTTAAATGTGCATGTGAAAAAAATCAACTGACATATAAAGGGATGCCTATTAACCTAACAGGAGACCTCTCTCAGGAAACTCTACAGGCAAGAAGAGAATGGAGCAACATATCCCAGAGTATAAAAGAAAAAAATTGTCGCCTAGGATTAATGTACCCAGCAAAACTTTTTTCCTTTGTCTTTGAAAATGAAATAAAATTCTTCCACAGTAAAGAAAGGTGAAAAGAACATGCCTCTTCCAAACCTGCCCTACAGATGATGCTTCAAGATGTTCTCCTGACAGAGAAGAGGAATAGAGCCCACCAAAACCAAAGGCAAACGGGAAGAACATCCCAGTGAAATAACAGAGGACTAAATCAATGAACAACCACCCATTCCTAAAGTGACAGAACCAAATTGCCACCCATTTTTATTCACCCTGGATGTAAATGGCTTAAACTCATCAATCAAACATCATAGATTAGTAGACTGAATTAAAAAAACAAAACCTATCTATTTGTTGCCTACAGGAGACACATTTCATCAACAAAGATCAGCGGAAACTATCTCATGGATACTTCTGATTAAATTCTTCAACGACTCATAGATGGTACAGTAGCATCATTTTCTTCAAGAAGGTCCTTGATCTTCTTTTTCATATCTTCAGTGACACATTAGTCATTCAGTGGCATGTTATCTAATTTCATGGTGTTGTTAATTTCTTTTTTCTTCCCGACGTTGATTTTGTTTTGTGGCTTTTCATTTAAGGGGATGTATAGTAACTGTGTAATGGAGACTATCATATCCAGATGTGAGGATACAATGCAGTATGCTTCTCTACTTCCAAACTAAAGATGGACTCCCAATGAAACTGTTTACTATATCTTGACAATAGGATGTTGGATTCTCTTAGCCATTGTCCATGCCCTCAATGATGGACATATGACTGTGTATGAAGAACTATACTATAGTAACAATATAGGGGAACTCAGTGAGTGGGGGAGTTAATTGGGGAGGAGATAAGGGAAATTCCAAGGTCTATGGAACTGTATCATAAAATGATAATAATAAGAAGAAAAGAGGTTAAAAAAAGATGAGAATTCTGCCTCTGTCATCTATTTGCTTTTCAAATAAGTAAGTAAAAGATTAGCAAAAAAGGAAAATGAAACACACTCAAATGTATTCTTTTGGTGGGTCATATAGATGTAAATGGGAGAATTTAGTAACAATCATTTTTCCAGTATTTTCTTTGGTGTTTCACAGTCTGTCATGAACACTGATGCTAGTATATTTCTTAGCTACTTTCTTCAATGTTTAACAGGATGTTGCCCTATATTCAGAAATTATAATTTCCTATAAGATTTTTGTCATACGCTACACTTGAAAGATAAAAAGAATACCTATCACTTAAAAATGTGTATAAAGCAAAGCACTTAAGTTTCAAACTCATTTTCCTTACAGAATTGAAATGTGTGTTAAACCCTTAGCTGTTTTTCATGCTTCTTTATAGTACCTACCAAATAACAAAAATACTAGTACTGTGGTGGTGACATGGTGTGCAGGTTGAGCCCCCACCTGTGGTGCTACGTCACCTATGGGTGCTGGTTCAAGTTCAGCTGCTCCATTTCTTAGCTCCACGCTAATGCATCTAGCAAAGCAGTGAAAGACGGCTCGAGTCCTTGGACCCCTGCACCCATGTAAGAGAGTGAAAGAAGCTCCATGCTCCTAACTTCAGATAGGCCCAGCTCTCCATTGTGGATTTGGGGAGTGAACCAACAACGGAAGATTTCTCTCTCTTTCTCCCTCTCTCCCCTCCTCCTTCCCTATGTGTAAACTTGCCTTTCAAATAAAAATAAATAGATATTTTAAAAAGAAAAACCACTACTACTCAACTTAGGCAATGGAATTCCAAGTCACTACTGAAACGATTATAAATTGTTTTATTTTTTTTTACAGGGTAATTAAGTGTTTTCATTCTAATAAGCAGTATGTATAGTGAATTGTAAATACGAGAAACAAATTTTTAGCTTGATAATTCTGAGAATTTATCCTAGTTACTGTGTCTATTTTAATATGATAGTGGCAAAAATAGAATAATAGGAGAATAAATACAGCATACCCATATGATGAAATTTTAAATAGCCATTGGAAAGGGATGTTACAAGCATAACCAATGACTGCAAAAGAAGGTCTGGCTACAACCTCGGAACAGTAACATCTGCTTTAGACGTGTATGCGCACAATGCAGGCACATCAACAAGATCACAGAAAGTGGAACAGATGAATCTCTTCTTATGCAAACACTGAGTATGCATATGAAGAATCCAGAAAGTTCATGAAATAATGCATATTATGAAAAAAACTGTGGATGGCTTTCCATCTTTTTTTTTCACCAAACTAATTTTACCTGTTTTATTTGTGTATCTATTTGATAGGCAGAAGGTCAGAGAAAGAAAGTAACAGAGGCAGACACCATCCACTGGTTTATTCACCAAATGGTCAGAATGACCAGGGTTGATCCAGGCAGAAGCCAGAAGTCCCGAATTCCATCCAACTCTCCCACACAGGTGAGAGGTGCTCAGGCATTGGGGCCAGTCTTGGTTGCTCTATCAGGTACATTAGCAGAGAGTTGGACAAGAAGCAAAGCAATCTGGACTCAAACCAGCACTCTGACATGGAGTACTAACATCACCATTGGCGACTTAGCTAGTTGCACCAAAAATGCTGACTCTCTCTAATTCCAGTTTCCATGAACTGGAATATCTGAAATATCCTTCCATATATGTGATGTGTGTTTATGTGTTTACATAGAAACAATTTAGGAAAATGGGTGTTTCCACAACTTGTGTTAAAGACATATTAATCTGGATTTTTTATCATAAACATGTGGTACTTTTATACTCAAAATATTGATTACCTGATTAAAATATAGCTCTTGATTAAAAAAGAGCAAGCTCTTCTGGCTGTTTTTCCCCCTAGACCCGTGGACTGGAATCAAATTAGTAGCACTGTTGCATACTAGGATGAATCTGATGACACTGCCCCTGCCAAACCTGGTCCCCCTAGTCCAGCTGCCCACTGACCCACCACAAGAATCCTGCTCACCAGACTATCCTGGACACACGGCATCGCCACGAGCTTCCGGATGCTGTTCTCCACGGTAATCCCCAGCCAGTTGAGTGCTGCCCAGCACCAGAGGTAGTCATAGCCGCCATGCCAGTAGCTCACAAGTGCAAACGTCATTGCAGTGGAAAACAGAGTCCCCAGCACGCCACGCTGGGATCCGCCCAGGGGAACATACACGTACCTGGAGAAAAAAGAGGCTATGAGAGCCATGCCCCAAACTGCCCTGCTCCACACCCACTTCAGGATTGATTCTCCTACCTCATGTTATTGGTCACAGCATACAAAAACCCTCCCTGCCTCCTCGAGGCCACAGGCCACCCTTAGTGTCTCCATCACATGCAAGCTAGCAAAAATCCAGGACCCTGGGGGAAATAGACACTCCAGCCTAAGTGCTCTTATTACTACTATGAAATAACATTTAGAAAAGGCAGGATGAATTCAACTTCCAAGAAATATGTGCCCCATCACTGCATGCCAGTGAAACTTGCAGCTACTTCAGGCCTCTGGGTTTCAATGCAGGTGTGCGATTTATGGCTCAACTCATCATGTCTATGGCAAACCCATGGTTGAGTTTGAACTACTGAAGGAAAAAGTTGTGCATGGGAGAAGGGCACCAAGACCAGTTGCCCAGCTTTCAGGTGGCTGCCCAGAGCCTTGGAGAATTCACAGAAAAGTATGGGTGCTCCCTGAGCAGTTCAATTGGCACTCAAGATGCACTGCCCTCACCCTACTGTGCTCTCCATTTGGCTGGGGTACATAAGGCTGGACTAGAACCTTCAAGCAGTGTTTCCTATTTGAGTGGCATGGCACTCACACTTCGTACTCTTCAGACCTGAAGAGCTGGGAGCATATCCAGTGGGGATTTCAGTCATTGCTGCCCGACACTTCTCTGTTCCTCCCTCCTCAGACAGGAAAAGCAAAGATCATTTCCTGTGTTGCAAGCACAAGAGATCCTTTACCTATGTCTCTGATTCTTGGGGGCACTTGATGGTTTACATTTGCTGTCTCAGCAGCCCAGCCAGCTCAGAACCGGGCTGGGCCGACCTTACATTCATTTTTCTCCAAGGAAATTGGAGCTTAAATTTTCTTTGAATAGAATTACTTATAGGTAGACAAAACAAAACTCCATAAACTGAAGAATCAGTAAGGAAATATTTAAAAAGCTGTAGGTTGTAATTATTTTGAAATGTCATCCTTGATAGTCTGTTTCCTTGACTGAAGTTTACCAGGCTCCTGGTCGACCTGGTGTCTGTACTTTTTGAGCTTGCTTCACCTAGCTGAATAACAGGGATCCTGGTAACTCACACAGGCATAAAGTTTCCCCATCACATCAACATCTGATCACCTTCCTCCCTATCTGGCTAAATTCCTAACCGACTGCCCTTGGAATCTGATCACCCTGGCCTGCCTTCACCAAGGATGCTGGTGGTCTGTTAACAGAAGCCCCTATTCCCTGAAGTTTCTTCTTACTGATTCTCTGACCGCCACCCTGTTCATTGGCTGCATCGTCTCTGTCCATGCTGTATTTGGAAATGAGCTCAACGTTAGCTTTTTTTGTTTTTTTTGTTTTTGTTTTTGTTTTTTTTACCCCATTGCTATAGTTTCTGAATAAAATCTGCTTTTATCACTTTACTGGTAAGCTCTGGCCTTTAGCATCCTTTACTCTCAAATGCTCTCCATTTTAAAAGATAAATTATCTGGGCACCTTAGACAAACCCCTATTACAGGTGAGCAAACGAAGGCCAACATGGTGGCTTGGTTTAAACATTCACACCTGGGAAGGAAAGGGCCCAGGGTTAGCCTGTGCACCTGCAGCACCAGCATCACTGCCTCCCATCAGTTCGGATGCCCTCTCTCATTCACCCAAGTCAGAAGCAAACTAGAAAGCAGCTGAGAATGTAACCTTTTCAGAAATAAGTAAAACAAAGAGTAATTTCTCTTGTAAAAAAGCAAGATTGTCTTTCTTGTCGATCAAAGTAGCAAGGATGAATCAAACACCACAGACGAGGGTCCCTCCACCTACTATCAAGCATTTATTTAGGCCTTCAGGGTATCCCTGGCATTGTGGACAACATGTAAAAACAAGAGGATGCTCCCACCCTAAGGACTAGTAAACTGATGGTGAACAGCGGTGAACAAGTCTCATCTTTATACTACATTATTGTATACCACAGATCATGTTTTGAAGTGTGAGCAAGGGGATGCATGAAGACAAATGAGGCACAAGAGGCATACTGACCAGTGTTCTCACCCAAGCAAGGTACAGTGGGTGAGCTTCGCTAGGTAAAAGGGAGAATGACCAGTCCTACACCAAGGACACTCAACAGGTGCTGGAGATCAACCAGAAAAGCCTGACCTCCTGGGCACAAGACCTTATTCAGTGTTCTGCTGCCCCCTAGAGGTTGCTTGGTCACTGGTGTAGAATAATCCTCAGCAGAGGTTTCGCTCCCCCCCTCGCCCCCCAATTCTCACCCCCAAAGAGGGGGCACTCTCCTCTACTGCCTCCTACCCACTAGAGGGTAAGCACTGCCCTTCAATTCACACAATCATTGCAATGACCTTTCCTTTTTTTTTTTTTTAAAGAAACCAACTGGGGCAAACAAGACTGCAGTTTTACAAAACGAGTTACCTAACACTATCCTCACTCAACCTGTTCCATGTTGAGGCTTTTTACTGTGTTTCACTCCACAACAGTGAGCTTTGCAGTGCATGTGAGAAAACCCAGGAAAAAATAAAAACCTCTCATTCTCCAAGCCAATGGACATATTGGCCTGATACTGGATCCAATTCCAAGGACATGTGCCCAAGCCTGCGATGAGGAGGCATCCAGTCCCCTAATTACATGCACAGCTATTTTAGGCACCTCCAAGCAGTATGGCTGTTTCTTTGAAATGACAGCTGGCAAAAAAATCCCTGAGAATTCCTTTTATTCCAGAAACCCATACATGACAAGGTGTCCAAGGTCATGAGATTATTGGTTTCACATCAGAAGGTATCATTTCCAGACTGGAAGATACAAACCCTTTCTTCACTCCAAATTTCTAAAAGATAGGATAATAAGGAGAGTGAACTGGAAATATTTTTTCCCTTTTATAGATTCTACCAGTTTGGTATTCATTCTGTTATTAACAAAAATGATCTAGAAACTTAAGGGAAACAACAGTTGAGCCCACACATAGAAACTACACAGGCAAGCAGGTTCCCAGAGAAAGGCGTCAGCCCCCTTGCTGAGCAAACAGAAATGGTTGAGGGTGCCAAGCCCTCCCCTGCCTGGACAGTTTGTGTGCCATTTGGGAAGGATAGAATTCACCTTCAGCCATGTTCTCAATTCTGAGGCATCTTATGGAATCAGTGCGACACAGCAGGTGGGACCCATGTGCAACATGCATGGTCCCGATGCTCTCTCTCCTTGCCTGAATGCCTCTGCACTAGGTGTTCAGTGGAAACCATTTCTAAGCACTCCCACAACTCTGTAAGGGCATAACGATGGGTATCATCTCACATAGAAGAGGGAAAGCCTAAACCAGGCCTGGGAGCATGTCCTGGTGACATGTGATATTTATGTAACTAGCTTTTCAAGTCAGCCTCCACAGAAATATCCTCCAGTACTGTATGAACGACAAAACAGTCCTTTTTAGGCAAAGAGTCTTGCTCGGAACAATGTGCACCATGTGTGAATGAGTTTGAGTCAGTGAGCTCTGTTAGTTGCCATTCAAGGCCAGAAGGTCAGAGGTGTCAGTTCTACATTTTGGGACAGAGTGAAGAACTTCTCTCTGCAAGGAAGGAACCCACTGGCTTAAGAGCTGGCACCTTGCAGAAGTCCCGCTGCCAGAGCTGGAGCACAGCAGCCAGCCTTTGAAGTGTCAGTGAGAATCCCAACTGCTCTAGCACCCATCCAGCTACCTGTGGATGCTCCTGCGAGGCAGTAAAAAGATGGCCCAAAAGTTTGGTCCTGGCCCAGGGAAGACACAGGTGGGGTTTCCAGTTCCTAGTTTTAGCCTGACCCAAACATGGCTATTGTGGCCTTCTGGCAAGTGAACCCACAGATAGAAGACCTATCTACCTCTACCTCTCTCTCTCTCTCTCTCTCTCTCTCTCTCTCTCTCTCTCTCTCTCTCTTCCCACCCCTCTGTTGCTTTACCTTTCAAATAAACACACTATTATTTAGAAAGAAACAGAAAAAGCTAACTTATTAACAACCAACTTGGTTAGTTGCATGGGTGCTGCCTGAGTAGGCGTATGCAGAAGAAAATGGTATATGCCTACTGTGAAAACAACTCAAGAATGCACCTACAGTGGAGACACGGTGGTGGGAATCTACAGGGTAAACACATTCATCTTAGAGAGCACCATGCTGCTTCACCCAAAGCCCCACACAGTAGCTCTGTCTGCTTTGCTGTGTTATCTGCACGCCTTGTGCCACAGGCAAAGGCCAGACCCATTAGGGATGAAGCACTTAAGCCACTGTTGCAGCGACTGCCCACAGTGGGCTTGCAGATTCCCATCCTTCACATCCCTTGCAGCATGGCATAGCCAGGGCAGCAGCAGCTGACAACCCACCCCAGTTCTGCCTTGTCTTTCCCCTCAGCTCTTGTGACAAATCCTAAACTCACAAGCAGGGGGACGGTCACACCTCCATGCTGTTGGCCACATATCTACACTCTAAGTATGGATGGGGGGTTGCTGTCTAGATGTTACAGAGTGAGCTACAGAGCTACTTAAACACACATTTTCAAGGAAGATACATGCAGAAAAGAACATAATTTACTTTTAATATGTTCTGCTCAATACAGACCATAATGGAATTTTAATAAGTAAAAATCAGCAGTTGGTTAATGGGCAGCCATATATTTTATCACTTGCAGAAAGGTCTACTTTCAATGTAGAGAGGATATTTTGAGCTGGACTAATTCTCCAGCTCTTTCTACTAAAAGATGCTGGTTTTAAATTTCAAACACAGCTCTGAAAATTACATATTAAAAATTCTATGTCCTACTTGGCAACAGGAAAGTGTGGAATTTATAAAATACAAATTAAACTTAAGCTATATTTAGTCTTCATTTAAACTTCTGGGTTCATGTAATTAGATGCCAATTTAAAAAATAATAATCATCTTTCTTTTCATCCCACAAAGCTTGCAGCTCAGGTTGAAGTACTATGCCAGTGAACTGAAGCTTGCAG